AAACCAAAGAGAATTCGATTTCAAAATTCAACTGCTATATATTATAAGGAAAACAGGGAGGGGAAGAAAAGAAATATACCTCCATTTGCCAAGCAAAACTATAGTAAACAAACATAATGGCCAAGGAAGTGATGCTAGGGATGTCAACGGGACCCCGTGAGGCCGGGGAGTTCCTCTTCATCCCTATCCTCACGAAAGGCGGGGACAGGGATCCCCGCGTGGATTTTTGACGGGAGGCAGATTTTGCTTGCCATCCCCATTCCCCGCGGGGAACGAGGATTCTCGTGGGGATCCCCATTCCCCACTAATTAATATTTAAATATATATTTTTTATATTAAACATAAATAAAGATTAATTTAACATAAATAATTAAATTAATAAACTTGTTTCAAACATAAATAAAGATTAATCAAACATAAGTTGTTTGAATTGGTGGTGGAGCTTAAAATGATCGATCAACACTTTGTTCTTGTATATTCGACATTTGTCACCTCAAAATAAATTAAAAAAAAAAAACAGTTATGCTTTTACATTGAAATATAAAATAAACTTTGAACTTTTCTTTAATTAATGGAAATTCTTCCCTTTCGTAATTTTACTAGAATTCACAGTAAACTCTAAAAATTAAATAGACAGCCAAGCATTCACAGTTTTCTCAATTTCTTGATTTTAGTGAGAAGCTACTACACTTTTTTATGTTATATGTATATCAATATATGTAAAGAAATTAACTATGCAATTCATTAATAGAAATGACTATGAGCAGTCAATGAATCTAGAAAATTCTAGAAAATCTAGACTTTCTCTATATTAAATCAACCCATAAACAAATTATTTAAACTTCTTATCGTTTGGATTTGTAGCTTGTAGCCGTAGGTGGAGTGGTCCGGCAGCAAAGACAATTTAGCAGCTTAGCAGCAGTCGCAAAGGCAGTTCAGTAGTCCACAAATTGACTTCAACTTTGACTTGGAGCAACAGTAGGGGTGTAGCAGCAGTCCAAACTC